TATTACTTTCTTAATTAATTTATATAAAAAATTATAAAAATTGACTTTAAATTAATTAATTAACTAATTAAAATTGTTTATGTGTCAATAATATTGAAATAAATATCAAGTTTTATAATTTTTTATATAAATTCATTATAATTATATAAATTAATTATAAAAAATTGTATTTATTAGATTTTTAATTTGTATATTTAAAATACCAATTAAATAAATATTATATTAATTTTCAAAGTTGGATTCTGCTTGGAAAGCAATTCTATTGTTCCTAAAAGTAAAATAAAAAAAAAAAGTTTAAACCCTTTTCAATCCAACGGTCATGTCCTAGTGGCAGAAGTGACTGAAAGTCTCTTTGAAGTCTTCTGTTCGAGCCTCGGAGGACACAAAGCTAAAGGAAATTTTCCATGAACTTTAAACCATCTGGTTGAATTGTTTAACGGTTTACACCGATTCAAGTGGTTCTATCAGTTTTGAATGGTTCAACCTCTTTATTGATTCCAAGCACTTATCTGACTCGTTTATGGTACCGGTATCGATTCGATTGATTGGTCTGATTTGATTTTTAAAACAATGCTTACCGCTCTTTGATGTCAAAAAAGCATGTTTTGGAGAGAAGAAGTCTTTTAGTGATCAATTAGAAGTAATCATATTGGAGAGAAAGCGCTCAGCAAACAAATTTCAAACCCAATTGCAAGGGTTCCTTGTCAAATTTGAAGGCTAAAGAAGAGGGTTTGGAGTGCGAAGAGATGAAGGGAAATGAGATCTAGAGCAAGAATGAGGGGATTCACTCAACAAACGACTTTCAAACATAGTTGCAAGGGTTCCTTCTCGGATTTGAACTCTGAAGAAGATGGTCTAGAGTGTGAAGAAGAGGATCTAGAGATGCGAAGAAGATGAAGGGGAATGAGATGGGAATGAGACCTGGTGCGAACCGAATAGGAGGAATAAAGGGTTTTTCAGATAAAATGAGGAACGATGCCATTTTTAAGGTGCGGACTGTAAATTTTTTTTACAGTCCATATTGAAATACAGTTTTCTGATTTAACATTTAGTTTATTAGTTATAGGTTTATTATCATTTTGGTTTAGAAAGTTTATTTCTCTCAAATTGGTC